AGGCTTTCTATGAAAACCTTTTTATTTTGTGACTGTCACACAACATAACAATTATGAAAGAAATGTAGGTGACAAAAATGAAAAGCCTGCTTGCTGATTTTTATGAAGTGTTTGTACTTCCAGAAAGGCAGTCATTGCTCTGTTATTTGATTTGAAAAATTAATCCTGATAATTCCTTTTGAGTTCCTTAAGTACTGTTCACTCTTCTCTAGGATGAGTTTTACAGAAAAAAGCCTAACAGATTTCCACAGCAGATTAGTTTACATATGAGGCTCAATTCCACTGAGAATGATTCTTTAATGACGCCTTCATACATCCATTGGGCTGGGTGAATGCTTTAATATGTAGAGAACAGAGTTAAATAAAATTATTGTCTCAACTAACAGGTTTATGCAATCCTTCTGAAATATTTTAATTATTGCTTTTTCTTCATAATTAAGAAACCAGATGTCAAGTAAACCTAGCACATGTTCATCATAGCCTATACATTAGTTTGAAGAGATCCGCTTATAATTAGAGTTTTCTCCTGTTTGTCCTTTCTTTTACAGAGCAAGAAGAATGTGTTAACTGCACAGATGAATGCAGAGTGCTTGGTCATTCTGACAGGTGTTGGATGCCACAGTTCCCTGCAGCCAATCAGGCTGAGAATGCAGATTATCGCACAAATCTCTTTGTACCCGCAGTTGAAGCTAATGTTGAGACTGAGACATATGAAACTGTGAATCCCACCGGGAAAAAGACTTTTTGTACATTTGGGAAAGACAAGAGAGAGCACACTATTCTCATTGCCAATGTTAAACCTTACTTAAAAGCCAAACGTGCCCTGAGTCCTCTACTTCAGGAGGTTCCCTCAGCATCGAGCAGCCCAACCAAGACATGCATTGAGCCTTGCACCTCAACAAAAGGACCACTGGATGGTTGTGAAGTGAAATCAGGAGCCTTGGCTGAAACGAGCAGCCAGTACTTGTCAACTGACAGTCATTATCTATCGCCCAGTAAACAGTCAAAAGACCCTCCCTTCGTTGCACCCGATCAGATGGCCAGGGCCTTTGCAGACGTGCACTCCCGAGTGAGCCGAGACTCCAGCGAGATGGACTCTGTTCTGGAGCAGTTAGACCGTTCCGCCCGTGATCTAGGCAGGGAGTCGGTGGATGCCGAGGAAGTTGTGAGAGAAATAGACAAGCTCTTGCAGGACTGTCGAGGAAGTGACCCTGTGGCCGTCAGAAAGTGAGGGGGAAGATAAGGACAGGCTGGCAGTTACATTCCTCTTCTGCTGATTAAAAGTAAATAAATAAACAAACCCCCTTGTTGTAACAGATTTACAGGAATGAAGGAAGACCAATGCTGCTTTAAGGCTTTTAGTGAACATCTGAAGTGCCCACAAGTATGTTCTTTTCACTGCTCTTTCTTTTTGACAGATAACACTGGTTTCATTTTGACCAAACTTTTATTAGGACAGAATCAAGTACACTAAGAATGAAATGAAAGAAAGAAAGACGATGCCATTTTGACAATCTGATAGGAAGGTGTGAGAAAGTTGGAATGGAAATACGTCTTGATAATTTAAGACTGTCCTCAATAGCTGATGCTGACTTTACTGTTTACGTATAAACCCCAAGAAAAAACAGGGTTGAATAATTCTGATCTGTGGTGGATTTCCAACAGTCACCACAAGCTTCTACTGAAAGTCCTAAAAAAGAGTTCTTGTAGTAGTCCAAGCGACACCAAACATTAACATTCATTTGTGGTAAACATTTATGTGCAAAGTTTTCTGCCACAAGTACGAGAAAGAAAAAAAAGAACAAGAAAATAAATAAATAAATAAATAAACACATTCCAGATCATTATCAACAAAACATATCCTAATCATTAGTAAAACACTTCATATCATATTAAGGTTAAATGTAAAATGATATAGTACATCTTGTCCTGCACACATATAAGGTAATTCACTTGAAATAAAAAAGAAAAATAAAGATTTAAATATCTATTTAGCATTTTAGTGTCCAACAAAATTATAAATAGTTAGCAGTAAGTTTACAAAAAACGGAAGTGAAATAAAGTTTGAAAAAAAAAAATAGTTACCTCTAAGGGTAATACACAAAAGAAGTTGACATTATTAACACTTTTTTTATTCATTTGTGGACACTAAAATAGCTCAGGAAAGTGAAAATGTCTTAGACATCCACAGAAATCACATGATCATTTAAATGTGCAAATGTAAGAAGATTCAGTGTGTTTACATCAAATGACATATTTTTATTGATTTATTGCAGATTCAGTGCATATGAGCCAAATTGTTGAGTGTATAAGAGCTATATTGTGTATTTTATTAAATTAATATATAGTTGTGTTGCAAAAATACTTGGGCTTATATTGTAAATGGCAAGTGTTGCCTCGGTAGCTGTCGAACTCTATGAGTTTTGTTTTTTCCTGCTTCCTTTTCCCCATGGATTGTGGGAAGCAGCGCCTCAGAGCAAAGTCTCTTGTTTAATGTATGGTCTACGAAGTACTGCAGTACATAATCTGTTCAAAATGTGTTTGAGTGAGCTGATGGAGCTAACTGAATGGCCTACAAATACATCCATCAGTCATGGTTAAGTGCAAGTCCTTGTAGAAGCTTCTATTGCAAACACATGTTTAATAACAATAATTACACTCGAACCAACATCTGGAACCTCCTTTTTTTTTATGATTTCCTTTTTTCTTTTTTCGCCCCAGACACATGCAACCAGACTGTTTAATGTAGGATACTTTATTGACTTCCTAAGAGATGCCACCATTTTCAAAGTTTTGCTATTAAGTTCATAGAGCTGAAAAACATGTCAGTGCCAATGTGGCATGGGCAGTATTTTTTCTGAGTCTTTAGACTGTGCAATTGCCTATTGCAATTCTAGATATACACTGCTTATTTTGAGTAGTGATTTTAGTTTGATTTTCATTTGTTCTGAAAAGAATTTGGAGAATAACTTGGGATACAATTTCTACTTTTGTTATTTTTTTCTAAGGGTGTTTTTTATTACATTTGGAAAATTCAAAATTGCTTACAGAGGAAAGTTAAAAAGCAACCCACATTTTGAATGAACTTGTACAGAGCAAGAAGCAGAAGAATAAAATATTTAGCTCAAGATTTGTCCCTTATATACTTCAGATATTCTGTTGGAAATACCAAGGCACATTGTTTAAAAATGGTGTATTTGGTTTATTACATATAATCTGTTTTGTACAAACGTATGTAAATCTCATTCTCAAATCCCACAGAACTATAGTTTTCATCAGTTCAAGAAAGAAAGTTGACCCAATAGCCTGTTTTGATGTTGGGATTGCTGTTAAATGGTGATTTTAGCTAGTCAGTCCTACAATGAATTGTCTTTGGGAGACAACAATTTTAATAGTTTGCTTTTACCTCTTCCTGTTCAAGAAGTCTACAATTACATGTAAAAAAAAAAAGAAAGGATCTTGTACATGTTTTATCAAGCTACTCTCCATGTTTTGGACAATTTATGTATCTAAAATGTGGTGTTGTCTGTGTTATATAATTAATTTCTTTCTTTTTTTTTGGCCAGGATACCTGAGATTGGTTTTGCTTGACAGCTTGATAGCTTGAAATTCCATAGTAGAGAGGATTTCTTATTGTTTGATCAGTCTCTTATACGTATTTCTGTGGTGCCCGTCACTTCAGTGTCTGTGCACCAAGTCTTTAACTCTGCCAGTGAGATCCATTACTCAGCAAAATCTAAGCCAGTATGTAAATTCAGTCAAGTGATGGAAATTTATGTATTTTATAAATTATTTTAACACTGAGTAACCAACTGTACAATTCATTGTATGTTTCTGAAGACATAAAACCACAACATTCTGAGAAAGGGCTGTGCCAATGTAAGAGGAATTTACCTTAAGGCTCTCTGTCACTAGTGATTTACTAGTTTTAGCTGTTTAACACATTATCTTTATTTAGTAGTGATTATTTATTTACCACTCTGAGGTAATTCAGAATTCATGACTCACAGCTTTATGGAAGAGTTTAGGAAATCTTGCTTTTATTTAATTTGGCTGACAACTGCCTTGTGTTGTAGATCTCTGGCATACTGCTTCCAATAAGGATATCCCAGGTTAAAAGATCTGTTTCACAGTTTAGGATAGATGAACCAATAAACCAGCAGAGCTGGTTCAACTCCATGTTGAGTTTTGGTGGTTCAGTCAAAATTAACATGATTGTATGCGAGGGAAGTACTACGCACAAAAGAGTAAAAAAACATGTTTTTTTTTTTCTCCATGATACCTCTACTATCACCACTAGAGAAAGAGGCAGCAATGAAAGATAAAGTTTATGAGGTATTTCTCTCATTCCTTACATATATGTTTTATAACACTGAAAGATAATATCTGCTATATGTTTATAAAGAGAATAGCAGAGTTGAGGGAGGCAAGTTAAGTAACTAATAAAATTGTACTGTACACTGTGAATAGTGAATAAGGCATATAATAGTTTTTTATTAATGCAAGCCAGCAACTGGGAGCTCCTTAAACAATCGGCCAATCGAATCAGGACTCAAAATCAGATTTTTTTTTTTTTTTTTTTTCCCTTAGCATATTTTTCAGGAAAGAGATTTTCCAGAACTGTGATTTGTCACTTGAGACTATAGGTTTCCCAGTCTACGTTACCCCTAAAAGTCAAATGTTGCTCACAGTGGAGCAAGATATATCAGTTAAATAAACTTTCAAGCTGCTTGCTGTCCAACGGAAGGGAAATTGCTGAGGTCAAGAAGGAGTCAAAACCTACCATAATATGTGCTCACTCGTTATTTAATTTATTTTGACATCAGGCAGTGATTATTGCATTAATTCAAACAGGAGTTTTGGCTATCAAGAGTTGTTGATTTGAAGTGTAATTGAATGAAACCTGGTTAAGATTTTGACTTCTCAGGCCCAATTGTGATACAGGTTGGCATTCACATTTATCAGCCCCTGTCTCCCCATATGGCTCAAAGTTGCACCAATGACTGGTGAATGACAAAAAAAAAAAAAAAAAAAAAACAAACCCACCAACAAAAGCAGCATACATTGTATGGATTATCTCAACCGCTATTGTTTAATGGCTGTGTTTAATGTGACCTATCTGGAAAATGAGGACTACGAATAAAAAGCAATTACTAATAGTGGTGTTGCCTGCTTTTGCGTTCATTAACACAGAAGAAATGTGTTAAACACTGCATACCACAGGGAGCCTGATGGTAATTACTTTGGAAAAGCAACTTGTGGCAATGTGGCTGTTACAGCTAGTTATCAGTTTGCCAAAAAAATGACAGTTCCTGCTTCACTTATTAGAAATGTGTAACCGTTTTCTCTCAACAGGAAGGTGGTGAAGAGTTTTCATCAAGCTGGGTAGGTTTATCTTTTAAGCAGCTGATGTACTGAATCCCTACAGGTTGTTATTTGCTCATAGAAACATAGATCTGAATAAAGGATAGTTTGGTTTAGTACACTGGTGTGAGTTCACCCAAAGCATTGTAAATGAGGGTGTAAGTTCTCAAAGACTCTCAGCCCAACATGAAATACCAAAACACTGCTTGAGAACTTACAAGTGGAGGAAAAAAAATCTAAAGAATGTAAAAGCTTGGTATTTTTCTTTTCTTTTTTAAATGGGTCTTTTTTAAGAACCTGAGTAACAGGGGTAAATAATTTTATTCATGTTGCTGTGAACAATGCGACAAAATTCTGGGAAAAAAATATGACTAAGTTTTATGTCTAGTTGTTTGCTGTTAGAATTTAACATTTTTGTTAATATCTTTTATTGTTTAGGGTTTTGTTTGTTTGTTTGTTTTCTTTGAGTATGATGATCAGTTCCTCAGAATATGTGGCCCTTTGTATCTGCTCCTGTGTGATTGTAGCAATGAGGTACCAAACAGTGTAAAGCACATCAGATTTTTGGGGGGATTTAGTTTGGGGGTTTTTGTTTGTTTGTTAGATTTATTTCTTTTTACCAATAGTTAAGTAAATTGGCATTGATTTTGACAGCTAAATAGAATTTTATTTTGTTCAGAGTGCTACAGGTATTATGAAGAGAAGTGCCTCTCCTGCAGTCTGAATTACCTTTTACCCATTGCATGTTTTCTGCAAGTCTCTTTGCCAGAAAAACAAACAAACGAACAAAACCACAACAGCCTACATCTAGTTAGCTGCCTATCTTAAGCACAGAAATTCTCCATTGTTTTCTTCCCTTTTTTTGTGCTACATTTACTTACCTTTCTACAGGCTGGGTTTGCAAATCTAGCAAGTGACTGAGTCCTCCCAGGATATACCTTACACTACTGAAGCCTTCACTGGACATGTGACATTGCTCTTACTGTTTTCACCTGTGTGTGATTCAGAGCTTGGCTGGATCCACAGCGTATGTAGAACAAGGCATAAACCACCCTGACTTTTCTTTACCCAGAATACAGAGTCATTGATTTCTCATTTGGAAAGTGGCCAGTCCATCAAAGAGAGATTCTTAGATCTCCTTTAAGCCAACCATGTATAACTGCTTCAGGGTGTTCACTCATGGGATAAATACCCCTATCCTTATCCTTTACTGAGTCTAAGACATGAAAGCAGCTGAAAGCTTATTTCTTCAGCTAGTAATGCTTCCCTAAAAATGAAATTTCTCCAGTAGATAGAAGGCATGGGTCTCTGCAGTCTGTATAGCTTGATTTGTGAAAAGTCACCTTAGTATCAGTAGTGCATGCAGGAATGGAACAGGGAATTAATGAGCCATCCAAGAATTTTCTGAAATGTATA